TAAACATCATAAATTTACAACTTTAAAGGCCCAGAACACCTAAAGTATTATCTCAGTCTGTTTTTTCAATATAATAATTACTGTAATCCCAAATAAACTTTCAGTTTTCAACCCAAGTTAAAAGGTTTTGGTCATTTAACATGAAAGTTCTCTGTTTTTCTGTTTGAAATGGGCGAGGCTCAGTTAATGGATCTGTTATGATTAAGGAACACTGTCAGTTAAATGTAGCTAATCACACAAATAGATTCAATGAGGTTTTGACTGTAAAACTCATAATTAATAACTAAGGAATTTTTAACATTTTAACTTAGACTGTGGCTTATTTAGTCATACAGTAATTACAGTACTTCATTTTATAGAAAAATACCTAAAAACTGCTTTTTGCGAGCTTTGAGGGGTATTACAGAATATTGTTAGCGCCAACCTGTGTCAGCACCAGTCCATCCAAAACCTATTAGACTGATTTAGCCTTAGTTATAGTTTAGTTTAGCCAAATTAAGATATAAATATATGATAACATAGTTAACTTGGTTAAAACCTGTTAAACAAGAAAGGCTTTGGTATTGCTCAAGGGGAAATGGCCATCTAGCCATGAATTTAATTTTTACGCTGTTATCACACAAGTGGACGATGTCCAGTGACATTTTAAATAAGGCAAATATACAAATACTATATAATACTAACATGTTTTTAACTGTTCATATTTCAAAGTGACTTTTTCTGTGCCAGCATTTGCACTCCGTTTCCTTCAGCCTGGTGTTCTTACTGTAGCCTGCTGTTCACAGGAGCAACAAGTCACTGAGAAAATGGACAATTTATTGAAGTTTTATGGAAAGCCCCTTACCCCCTTTCACCACCGCACAATTACGTAAAAGCCATAAAGCTCCTGAGTAAGCCTTTTTATAGTAATCCATTTATGACTCTGGTCACTGAGGGGATGCCCGTCCTGCCACAAACACCCTCAAACGTGCGGATGGTATGAGGATGAAATCCATAAAGCACCGAAGGGCACAGATTCCATCTGAACATTCTCTTTTCTCTTCTTAAGCACATCATAAAATAGTTCATTATGTTTTTACAATCAACTTGTTTCATTATAAAGCTGTACATTTTATTTCCACAAACAGAAATGACATAACCAAGGTTCATCTGGATATTTCAAAATGTTGATGCTTTTGCTTGACTGGAAACATGCCGTTGAAATGGCTTGTGTCATTGAGGGAGAGCATTAAGAGCTGGGACAAAAAAAAAAAAAAAAGCTAGAAAAGGATGCTCCAGACAGAGAAATAAAAGGAAAATGAGACAGAGAGATTGAGTGAGTGGTCAAGAGCCCACTATAGTCTCTCCTGAGATGAGTATGATGATTGTACCCACATTCCTCTGCAGAGCTAAAACCCTTAGAGGCTTTTGGAATGTGAAAACCTACTTATTCTCTCTTTATAGTACAACACTTAGGCAGTGTACCACTTTTTTTTCCCCACCCTGAACATTGCTCACATCGCTGTTCCCTGAAGCTTGAAAGCACAGCATTTCTCAGCCAGCAACTCCCACTGGGACTAAAGCCCAGAGATGGAAATGCAACGGATATGTTTTATTGGACAGTTGCAGACAAATAAATCTAAATATGTATTTTGGTCATGTTTGTGTGCCCACTGTGTCCTGGGGGAATTGAAATGATTATATGACATAAATAACAGCGCTGTAACATGATATTAGGTCACATGTTTACATACATGGACCTAAGGTCAGGGAGGAAAATAATTCAAACACTGTTTCTCTTTTTTTTTTTTTTTTTTTGACATGAACATTGTTTTGGTAAGATACATACAGTACATGGTGCTAGGAGATTCACTTTTCAGTGTGCACAGACTGTTAATGAGAGATGGGATCATACATTCAGGTAAAACATATGTACTTAAATGGATAAAAGTCATAGCTGTGTTGCAGTCTGCCAGAGAAGCACAAATCAAGCTCGTGTCAGTAGGAGACGGTGGGTCACCCTGAATGAAATGGTTTAGGCTCACTGATCTGCGTGAAGGAAAGTCAATGAGAGGTGTCAATGAGAGGGCAGGAGGACTGCTGCAATCACATGTCCTGTGATTGACATGGCCTAACCTAGGGGGCTATGTGAGATGTCAACACAGTGCAGCCGCTTAATTTGGCCTCAACTGACGTTGCCTCAGAGGAGCAAAGTGAATTATGGACGAAGACAGTAGGTTACAAGAGTCAACATGCGTCTCCTTTGTTATTGCACAGGGCAGTCACTGGTTTTCATTGAAATTGTGGGGTTCATTTTTATATGTTGCTTTAATGAATATTGTGAAGCTATTAAAATAAAAGTATGGTTAAAAGAAACATAAATAAAATGTCTTTATTGGTGGTTGAGGTGGGAGAATATAAAATGACATCTTTCCAGACCAGACCTGGCTTTTAAATGACTAATTTCTCAGTAGGCTATAGGCATTGCTTACAGTATTAGAATTAGCATCTCCATTCTTGCTGATAGTCTGCTCCCTCCCACTTTTTGGTGACATTAAAATGTCAGCTGCCATGCAGTAACAGAGCTTCTAAGAAATGCTAAACTATATAATCTTAATTTATAATACAACATTCATATAATTATAGTTAGCATGAATAGTTTTAAAATATGCTGGTGCAGAATTTTCTGCAGTTTTATAAAATTAAATATATCCTACATCAAGAAACACTGTGCATATATTCATTACTGTAAACAATATTTCACTAAGTTGTAATTTTAAAAATGTACCTTTAAAACTAATATTTGTAATAACGTGTTTTTTTTCTACTTTCCAAAACTCGGCTAAAATAACAGAGAAGGAAAACCCATGCACTCTCACTTCCCCATTCTGTGCTGTCTTTGAAGGTAGAGTAAACTTGGGAAATAAAAGTGGCGGCCTATGGCAAACAGCACTTCAGAGAATTCAGCCCCTTTTTCTTTCTGCCACATGAGACAAGTGAGTCATGCAGCTTTGCAGAATTATATATCTATGTGTCTAATTATTTCTTTTCAAGTCCATACAATAAAAGACTGCGTGCTTTTCTTTTGCTGCAGCTAGGACGGCAGGAGGAGTGCCCTCCAAAATATTCCCTCTTATGCCTCTGACATGCACATCTGTCTGCACGTCAGCATAGCAACTTTCTAGACATCTTTGGTTTTAATGAAAGAGCTCTGGGAACTACAAATGCGAAAGGTGCTGTGATGACACATTTCAGTTTCTATTGTGCAAATAGAATCCCTCAGACTTTCTTTTAATCTTTATTATTCACAGCTTCATAGTTCAAACTACAGTGAAGGCATCCAACAATAGCCCTTCAAAACAAGACGCATCACAGACTTTAAATAAGTCTGTGTTTAATTTTAATAAAGGTCTGTTACGTAGAAATACTACAGAATAATGGGCAGTATTGTAACAACAGCAATGCTGACATTATATGAATTTCATGTTGTTTCTGATATTTTATACAAGCTAAAATGTTAAATGAAAATTGTGTTCTATGGTTTTGAAGTGTACCATTTCTCTAGCATTTCTAGCAGTGAGACAACTGTGAGGATATGCTTCTGCCACAGTGCGGTCACAAGGGGGTAGCATTGACACAGTTGTTTCAGCCCTTTAGCAGGCAGCCCAGCAGCAGGACAAACTGCCTTTGATGTAATTGAGGTCTCAGACCTCTTAGAAAAGCATATATTGGTTTGTATGTGGAAATGTTCAAGGAACAATGGATTTCCATAAGTGGATGTAAAATCGTATTTGGAGCATCCCCGGCATGCTAACCACTCTCTAAACAATAAGAAAAAGGACTCCTTCAGGATGAGACGGGTAATTCCAAGGCACTTACAGCCTGGAAATGTAATGGAATGTAGCATTAGGACTAAACGTGTGACTAAAAGATACAGACTGGTCTAGTTTTGGGCTCTTTCCTGGGTGATTCATTCCACGAAATTTGTAGATATACTTTCAGCTCTGTATAGCTGTACTATACATCCTAATAGAAGTCAGCAAGCAGCTCTTTTTAGAAGAATGGTTAGAAGCTGAATGTTTTAGTCACTATTTAGACAACAAATGCACTGATTCATTTTTCAGCCTTGAAAGCTGATGAATTATGACCTCCAATCCATATAGATTAAGCTGTTAATTATCAATCATCCCACAGCCATGCAAATAGTTCCCTAACTAAGATTTTTGTCTATCCATCTTATCATCCAAAGTAATACTTAAGAGTACAAGTCTGGCAGGGACTCATAAATAAAGGTTACCTCTTTTACATATTCAGTTTATCATGAATATTGCACACTCTGTACATAAAAATTCAAATGCAGTGTTTATGAAATATGATCATGCAGCAAATGTGAGAAGACACAGAGCACAGCCCATTCATACACAGAGGGGATTTAGAGCAACCCTCTGTGATTAATAAAAAATGAAATAGACATTGGACCCACAATAAAGAAATTAACTCCCGCCCCAAGACTTTTTGTTCTTCTTTCAGAGCAAACTTCTTTTTGTGAAATATATTTTAAATCCAAGGCCAAAATTGATATTTGACTGTCACTATACCCAGGTTATAGATGGATTCATGTCCCATTAAGTCATTGACATATGCAAATCCTAATCTATCTGTAACGCTCCCATCCAGTATTTCAGTAGAGAATAATGACAGCCATAAAACAACCACTGTATGGTTTACAGAGTTGTCCCTCAGTGGTCATCCTTTCTACTAGGAGTGACTGAACATGGACACTAGTATAAGTAAAACAGGTATCATGTATCTCTAAAGTTAAGGTCTTTAAATGTTTTCAAGTACATATACACATACAAATACATAGCATTTTGACATCATAATTTTGATTTCCATTCCAGGAATGTCTGGAAAAGTTTGTATTGACTGACTGGCCTTGCATGTGCTGATGCACCCAAGTATAATCTGCATGTGTGTAAAGTAAAAATATCTGATAGAATTCATTCACCTATACACAGACACACACCAGGTACATGTAACAAAAGCTGAACAAACACTGTGCAGCAAGTGTCTCCTCTCCTCTCATGAACTAGTTAACCTGAAAGAATATGATCTACAAATGTGTTTCAGCAAAAGCAAATTATCTGGGTTTTGTGGAGGGGAACTAATCTCTCCAAGCATGACACTGGACAGGAAAGGCCTCTTACTGTTATTATGATGTGTCGGCTTGTGTTAGATGGAAGGCCTTGATGGCCGCATCAGGAAGGAGCATTGAAAGCCCCTCTACCATGACAGCGCTCTGATGGATGCACGGGTGGCGGAGGGGCAGGGAAGATGGAGGTTAGAAAGCTGGAGATGAGAAGAAGCAGGAGGGTGATACGAGATGCAGAGGGGGCTATATACAATAGTAAATACCTACAAATGCAGTGCATTAGCAGTAGGTGCAGAACCTGAGATAACATTAGCATTCATGATAATGCTTTCTGTTGGACAGGCCATCACCGAAACAAAATAAAGGTCCTGGGTGCTGAATTTTCGAAGCCTATTTCTTGTCACCTGTAATGATTTGTTCCCTGTATGAAAAAGACTGATGATAACAGACAATCTAAAAGGAATTTATAAAATCAAAATAACTGTACATCAAGACTGACACATTATGTAATGCCATATGCACTCAGTGGTTGCAGCTACACCTGTACAATATATTGCAAGTCAATTTAACAGCTCATGAAGCCTAACTTTGTAATGTTCGGTTATCAGTGACATTGCCAGGAATGTGTAAATTCAATTATATGCTTTTCATAGTTAAATGTGATTTTGTATTAGACTACATTACATAAAGGAGTTTATCTAATTATTTGTCCTTTGCATTTAGATCCATGAAGTGACAGCATATTACAAACATCTCAGTGCCTTTTAGAAGGCAGGTGATAGCAGTACAGGTGTGCTGTACCTAATAAAGTGGCCATTCAGTGTAGATTCTTGATATTATAAGAAATAACAAAATAATAATTAAAGACAACCCTCTTATTGTGTTAGGTTAATAGCCAGTGAAATGAGTTATTGTTGCTGTCCTGTGAAAACAAACACTTCTCACGAGCTAATAAAACATTTTTTGTTTTCATCTGTGTAACAAGTCATGCTTTGACCAGTGCAGTGGCTTTTAAAATGACTTCTTTAGCTTTAGAAGCATGAGCATTTCTTCAATCCATAAAGAAGCACTTAATTGTTCCATTGTTTCACTGAGCAATTCTAAGTCATGAAATCTAGAGTTACTGTACCTGGTATTACAGTACTCATGGTTTGTCAGCAGCAGCACATGTGGCCTGACTATTGATTCCAAGTTTGCATCATTAGTTTGCTTAGATTTTGCTGCCTCATTCAGTGGTGGCTTTGTTAGATAGTAGTGGTGTGGTAGAAGCAGCACAGACAGGCACTTGTTGGTGCGTCACGGTCTTTTTTTCTTTTTCCATTCATTTCTGAATACTCAGAGGTGGCAATGTCTGGCATGCATTATCCATACTAAAATATTAATAGTCAGTTTTCCTCCACATCAGCAGCTTGTAATTTGATTTCTGGTTAGGAAATGCAGTTTTGGGGGGCAGATCTCCCAGCGAACACCGGTCCCTAGGCTCCTCCACATCCAGCTTCTTCAGGGTCCCGCTAGACATTGGGTAGGAGAAAGTGTTATGGAGAGAGATGGTGCTCCTCCTTGGCCTGGTAAAGATTGGGGTAGCCGACGCACAGCGGGACAGGTGTTCTGAGCTGCACACAGGGGAGTCTCACCAGGCTGCAGCGCCTGGCCTACATCCATCTCTGTACCTGGGGAGATAAATGGAAAAACGTGACCCAAACAGGAATATGTTCTAACAATGGGGAGTGGGGAGGGTTCCACATATCATTACTAAAAATCAGACACAGACTGCAATTAATTCCAGCCCTAAATGAATGTCTGCTGCTGGCAGCATACCTCTTTGTGGCAAAAGAAATAGATTAATAGTGCAGCATAGAGGAAATAATCTTATTCGGTACCATGCTGCACTGATATAGAATGGACTTCGGTGCTTGGCTCATTTCTTGATCAACATTTTTTGTCATCTTGCAAGCCCTACTTTTTGCCGCCTTTATTGTATAAAATGGTGTGATCTTTCAACTGCCCTTTGTCTTGGAAGAAAAATTAATTCTCATTTGCATTACCACGTCTAAATGTCAGCCACCGATATTTTGTTAGACATTAGTAAAGCTGGCAGCAAGAGGCACTGGATAATTGCACTCAGCCTAGCAGAGGGATTTACATAATTTCAGATAGCAATTAAAGAATCCTTGGGAAATTTCTTCCTGGTCTCTCTCTCCAGCTCACTTCTACAGCAGTACAAAAGAAGCATTCGTTTACATTAAGCTCCATGCTCCTTGCTGTTCATTTGCATGAAATTAAAGGTTTTCATGATCTTGAGCAGCGGGGTAACATTTAAAATGCTGTTTTAAAGCCCTCACCTTGGAATAATGAAACACTTCTATTTTTTTTAGAAGGCAGTGGGAGTTCATTGACTGCCTGTCCACAGCAAAACTTTTTCATTTTCCATTCACTCATACAATATAATACAATAGTACTTTCAATTAATGACTTTTTTTGGTTTGATCTGACCATGCCTACAGTACCATCACCCCACTTCTCATCAAGCCCTTGAAATGTAATTTTATGAAAGTTGAATTGCTTTTTAATAATACAAATGTATCAGTCAAAACTGAGCATACACTGAAATCCACTTCCTGCCACTGTGCCGGGATAAACCAATGTGGGGACTAGTGTCAGCGCTGGGAAGATAAACCTCTCATGTACAGTATCTATAATTAGGTCCCCGTGGGTCCTGGTGTTATCTACTGTCCTGATTAGAATGACCATTAACTTGTTTTAGCCTTGAAACTGATAATGTGCATTGGTGTGCGGTGACAAGAGAATCCAAGGCAACACGCTTCACGGTTTGTGAGCATATATTTTTGTTACACATACACACGTACGCCATATTGCTTTAAATCCTCTGTGCCTTATTGGTGTGGCCTGGATGACACATTTGATATGGTATGGATCATCAGGATTAGTTAAACTAAACCCTTCTCTTGGGAGGTCTGTGGCTCAATAGTCCAGTGTGCAAAATATTCACTTTACTTAACAGCAATTGTCTGTTTGTCAGCCCTCACTTTTCTGGTTTAATCAGTGTACTATCCAATATAACAGTAATGCACTGACTATAATCTAAAAAAACACAAGAATCTTGATGAATAGTATGGCTTTGGAAAGACAATGAAGCTTTGTCACAGAGCTCAGAAATAAATACAAAGCCTCATCAGAACAATACCCTTCACACTTCTTCCTTGATTCCCCTTCCATCTTTAAAGGCATCACAGAACATTTTCACACTAGTCGTCCCACCGCTGTGAAATAAATTGTGACAGTAACTCAATATGAAGTGAAATAGCTGAGAAAGCCTTGAGTTCACTTGCGCTGACAGTGCTGTTTAATTCCATCTTGTGCCAGCCTGACATTTCTGCTGCCACTAAAAATAAAACATGTGTACCCGTTGTACCCGTTTCATTTGCATCTGGTAATGAGGTGGGAGACAGCGCCCAACTGGTCAAGCCTCTCTCGTGGTAGTGCGTCTGTGCTACCTCCAACACAGTCACATGGACAAGGGTAAACCAACAGAAATATTTAGAGAAGAAGGGGGCTCAGACAGAATGGAATAGGAAAAAAGGGGGGAAGGGGGATAGTGAAGGATAGAGTGCTTGTGTGTGTGTGTGTGTGTGCGTGTGCTCTCCAGAATTCAGAAACCAATCTGAAATGACCCCAGCTCTCAAGCAGTGTCTGTTTTGGCTGACATTTCTCCCTGAATCTTTTAAGATGCATCCCTTGCTGCAAAATGCATTAGAGGAGAGAGGAGAAACAGAGGCACAAGAGGAGAGGGTTAAATGTGATTGCTCTAAATGTCATCACGTCTTCATAATGCAATATATATTCATGATCTGGCAGTCCAGGAGGGCAGACATCACAGTTGTGTTCTGTAATTCAAATGTTTTATCCCAATTTTGATTCATCGTACAATTCTGGGCAGACATCTCAAACTGGGGTGTGCATTCTTTATTTTTTAAACATTATGCATCTGAATGGACTGGTGGAGTGTGAGGTGGCTGCTGTGTGATGTGGGTGTTATTGAAAAGACATTGGGATGCTCACAGATCATCCTAGGTCTACCAGTAGCCATATAGCATCTGCTTCATCTCAGGAACAAGCAGTGTTAGAGGCCATTATTCCAATATTGTACGTAAGTGGCTATAATAAATGTTACAATAACAATGGATGTCTTCACAACTTGTCGCAATGTAACAGATGTTGCTGCTCTGTAGCTGTTGAAAACAACTGTTTGCTAACAAGCTAGTCATGCCAACTTAAAAGATGATAATGTATCAATGGTGTTGTTGTCTTTACAACTTGCTTCCTCTGGCCAGCAAAACAAACAAACAATTAAACTATCTATATACATGGTCCAAAAAATCGGTTATTGCAGATTACACACCAATACCAGAGGTAAATACTGGTACATAAGGTTAAAATGTAATAAGTTTCAAATGCAAAAGTACTCATTATGGAGTAGAATCGCCCCTGGCCTTGTATCACATTATTAAATGATCACTGATGCATTAACATGCATTTTAACCTTGCAGCTGTTTTGGGTGGAGTAACAGCAGCTTTACTGTTTACTGTTGGGTTGTTTCATCAGTAACAATGCTAAGCTTATTGTATGTTTTGTGTGTACGATCCTTACCTGCAAAGTGATTAGTAACAACAACTGTGTAAAACTCACAGTAGGTAATTGTAAAAGGTAAAAGGTTTCCCTTGTAAATGTTTTTGAGTAGAACTACAGAGAAGTAAGTGTTTGCTACTGCAGAGGTATGTGTCATTTTCTATAACATGATTACAAATTAAGCAAACTGGTCTCATGCTTTCTCTAAGTAAAATAAACATCATCAACTAGTTATGAGCCTGCCTTTTAAAAATGAAACTTCTAATTCCAACAATCATGCTAAATACGGTTAGCAGCTAAATGTGTGTGTGTGTCTGCATGCCACTTGTGAGTGATCTTGTGAGTCAGAATGCACTGAAATTTTGCTTCGGGTCCAAATTCAGTTCCATTCCAGCCTGGATCCAGAGTCTGCCTATTCAGTGTGAGTTGCATGCGATGCTAATTCTGTTTTGTGCTGCTGAGTGTTTAGAATAGAAAAACCAGGTTTTCTGATGTTCTTGAAATGAAAGCACAATGTTCTCTTCCCTCTGTTAGACTCTCGTGACCGAGTTCAGTCTAAAAACTGAAAAGAAATAAATCCCTCTGTGAGGAAACTTTCTACAATTATTTCACTCATGTGACTTCTTAAGAGCAGATTTACTTTTTCTTACCAGTGTGGCTACTTCTGTCATTGCCCTCTCCGCCACACTGCCAACATTTAAAGTTGAGAGACACCCTGCCTCTCTATGAGGCCTTGTATTGCTTTCATATGTATCAGATATGTCACAAGAAATCAAACCTTGATCAAAACCAAAGCTGACTGTCGACGAGAAACAGGGAAACATCAAAGAGCTTACAGCAGAAAGGCAGAAGTGGTTGAAATTGTGTTGTGGTAGTGCCTGTGTGTGGTAGCGGCGGTGGTGGGGGGTCCCCACTTCTTGTTAATTCTCTTCATAAGAGCTGTTAAGTGCATTCAGCAGTCATCAGAAATTGTGTCCACTCCCGGGCCTCCGGTGGGACTGCGTGTCCTGAGGTTTACTGTTGCTAGCTTGTCATGTCCACGTCAACAGCACTTATCGCCTTCTGTCTGAGCGCTGAGACATTTCCCAGGCATTTAACTGCCTGTTTGTCTTCTCTTGATTTCCCCTCCAAATCTGTCACATATAGTCTTCACCTGACACCTCACAGAGTGTTCCTCTCTCAAACACTGTCAAAACAGAGAGATGCAACAGAAAGAGACAGCAGTGGGGAACCACAGATTGCCAAATGTTATCCGCTGATCAGGCGCTGCAAATAATGACCCATGTAGGTAAAATGGTCTGGGTTTGTTTACTTCATCGACACACTGCTGCTATCCAAAGAATAAAAAATGGAGCTTTTGTTCACAACTTTGTTTTTGCAGTTCATTTGGACTCCAGATTATCAAGTGCTGCTTTCTGCTTCTCACACATTGCACTGTATGTACATCAGAAAAGGAATCCAAAGTTTTCACATCGCTTAGACTTTTTCTGCCCTTTTATTTCTTGGAGTAAGATCACTGGCATGAAAACAGTATACTTCACACAGAAGGCCTGGCATAGAATCAAATACATCTCTTTGGTGCATTTTTCTTTCCTGGCACAAAACCCTTCTATTATTTCAATAAGCTTTTGCTTTTAATACATTATTGATCTTAAGGTTGAACTACGGGCCATTGCATTACCAGGATTCTAAAGCCCATCATGGCATGACACTCACGTACTTGTGAAAAATTATACCAATTATGAAATCAACCAACAACTACCTCAAAAAGCAATCAATTGTCACATTGGAAAGCATTTTGTCCCACGATGCTATTGGCTTCGTGGTTACCCAGATGGAGTGGGCGTCGGATGTTTAATGACTTCCAAATACTGATTTCTCTGTTGTTTTTTTTTCTCCAAACACTTACTGCTATTCCCTCTGAGATGGCTGTTCGCTAAAGCAAGCCTTTGATTATGTTTGATGCTCTTTGGTGAGCGACCGCGTGCCACTAAGACAACAGCATTTACCAACTGATTAGGC